CACCTAGTTTTTAGAGGAGGGAACTATGGAAAGCTTCCTGATAATCACAGGCACATTCCCCATCACTTCCCCATGGGCTTCATTAAAAGATGGGTTGCCATTTGAAAATACACACCGACCTGTGATTAACAGCTCTCACCTGCACCGGAGGAGGGGAGCGGAGCAGGGCGCACCGAGCATGTGCCGGCCCGGTGTGGTGCAGCCGGGCCGGCAGCGTGCCAGTGGTGGTCTTCCGGGCGGCGCAGCGGCAGGTCTTCCCAGCCAGTGGGGGTGAGCAGTCCGTCTCTCCATGCGGCCGGCGGGTTAAAGCCTGCGGCTCCTCCTCCTCCGTGGCAGGTCTTCCTGGGCGGTGGGGGGGAGCAGTCCGTCTCTCTGTGCGGCCGGCGGGTTAAAGCCTGTGGCTCCTCCTCCTCCGCACTGCTCCCCCTGAGTGGCACAGCTCTCACCTGTGCCGGGGAGGGGGGGGCGGAGCAGCGCATGCTGAGCACGTGCGGGCCACGTGGTACAGGTGGGCCGGCAGCATCCCGGGCATCGGGCACACACACATTTGCTCTATAAGACGCACAGACATTTCCCCTTACTTTTGAGGCGGGGAAAAGTGCGTCGTATAGAGCGAAAAATACGGTATTTGCTCTGCACATAACTGAGGATCAAAATACTTTGCAAGAGAAATATAACATTTATTTATACAAGTAATAATTATTCAGTAACCCCAAATACGCAGCATCCATGTATATTGGGGTGTAGAGTTTCAGGTGCAAGGAACAAACCTAGCCTGGAGTCTTAGTCTGGCTTTTTAGTATTCTGTTACAGGTGGGTGTTTTGACCACCACCTGCATGGTGGCAGCGGCAGCAGCGGGTATGGCTTGAGGTGCATGGGGTTGAAAAGAATATCTGGCTATTACCAGGCTGCCCAACAAAGGATCATGTGCAGCTCAAAAGTGTGAATAGCTTTGCCAGAAACTCACCAGCTACGTTCATTTTCAGGCAAGGGGAGGAGGGCTGTATGTTTGGGGGAAGCCCATAGCTCTGTGGTCAAATACAGGTCTTGTTTACAAAAGGTCCCTCGTTCATCTTCAGGTAAGGCTAGGAAAGAACCCTGTCTGAAACTTTGGAGAGTTGCTGCCAATTGGATAGTCCAAAAATGTGGCTTAAGTTACTTTACAGTGTTCAGTTTGCACCACTGAAAGTTTATGTGGCTATACCAAGTTGATTCCTTTACAGCTTTATTAATTTAAAGAGCAATCCTATGACCCGTAGGATGGGCCCACAGGGCCATAGGATACATCAGTTACTTGTGAAACACATCTGCTCCAACATTTGCATAGCATATTTGGTTTGTTTCTGCACAGTGCTACTTTTTTCCAGAACTGTTATTTTTAAAACAAAACCTGTGCTCTGAGCTTCAGTTTTGACAGGCTGTGTTAGCACTGGATGGTGGGAGGGCAATTTGGAAACAGTGAATCACTGTGTGAGAAGTTTAGAAATATTTAAAGAGGAAAAAATAATCAGATATAATGTTTTACAATATTGATTTGATTCATCTTCATCCATTTTTAACAATGAGCATCAACACCCCATCCCTAACTGGAACCTTTATGAATAGTGACAACTGTGGACTCATTCAAATCACAATTTTCAATGGTCATGGCAAGGTACTGAAGAGCAGGGTAAATAGTAGATCTGAATCTGGTTTAGCTTTCCTGATGAAAATAACGAAGTTTCCCTGCCAATGATGGGATACTGCCAATTAGATTTCTCCTCTTGAGCTGCAAAATGCAGGAAAGGTGAGGGTTAAGCAAGAGGGCTTCAGGAATTAAAGTTAAGCTATAGAAATCAGGAGGCATTTACATCTGCTGCCTTTGGCACAAGCAGTTAATATCAATCTGGTCTGTAAAACATAGGAGGTGGGAAGTTTGGCATTTGTAGCACCAAATATATTTAGGCTGTGCCACTCCTGGGTTCCAAATGACTTTTAAAGGAACAGCACATGACTTGTAAGATGGACCTGGAACCCACAGGTGGCAAAAAGGGCAGACCACCTCACAGGAGAGAAGGGTGAGCTGAGCCAATTACTCTCTCCATGTACTGCAGGACTAGAAGCAGGTGTGTTTTGGTCCTGCTGCAACTCATGCAGAGTGCTTTGGGAGGAACTGCATCTGGGAAGTAGCAACATGTATTCAGAGGCTTAAAGGCCAGTATCACCTAGCACCTAGAGAGTCGGATGGCTTCTGCGCTGTTCAGGTCCAGCATCAATGGTAGGCAGGGGTGGGCACCTGCCAAAGGCCCACACCTTTAGAGGTGCCCACTGGCAAAAAGCCTTCCTGGGATTGTGCTCCTCTTCACCACTGCAGCTTGCTTATTCACCTGCCACTCATGCTGACCCGGACAACTGTGGTGGTAGGAAGGGAGAACAACAGATGCCACTGCCGACTTGCTTGAACAGACAAAAGCTAGCAATGATAAGGAGGAGAGGGAATAGGAGCAAGAACTGCTGCTGATAATGTTAGTGAACCTTAAAGCCTAATTGTAGTCTGAACCTGCCCAGTGTAGATATTTCTAAGCACTATGGAGCTTCGCTAGCTAGAGAGGCATCCCCACTCTGGACCACCTTAAGTCTCAGGTTATTATGGAAAGGCAAGATCTAAACAACGAAACAGATCAGGGGTTGGGAACCTGTGACACTCAAGACACTGGACTCCTATCAACCCCAGCTGGAATAGCCAATGGTCAGGAATAATGGGAGGCACAGTCTAAAGGGCCACAGGTTCACTGCCCTGGAAATAAATGAACAAATACGCCCAATCTTCCTTATAGCCAGAAAGTGGCACATGGTGGTTGATAGCTCTCCACTTAGTAGCTAGTTTATTTGAACCCACATGTTCAGATTACGCTGAGAGCACCCTGCATATAATGCCTGTCAGGGAAGCTGCAACATGCCCCTTTACTTTCAGGAGGAACACCAGAAAGATTGTAAGCTGCTCAGTGTTTCTATCTGCCAGTATCATTTGGCATTATCAAGCTCATTTTCTGAGTGGATTCAGCTACTTGTACAATCTGCTTGATGTAGGTAGGAAGACCTACCCTTTGAGCCCCTGCGTAGCCATGAACGGCACCTTCTGCGCATCGACACCGCCTTTCTTTGGGAGGGAAAGGGGGATAAGCAGCTGCTCTGAGACTGTTGCTGTGACAGGCACAGTAAACCCAATGTCAGCTCTCTGGGTCTGCTCCAACAGTCTAAACGATCTGGCCTATCATATATCAAATTGAAATTTTTGGAGTGGATAAAATAGGATTCAGTTCAGTAAAGTGTCTATTGTAACCCAACAGTCTTTTACCACACAGACTAGCAAAAAGTAGTTGTGTTGTTGTTTTCTTTAAATGAGAGGTAGAGCCTTCAACTTTCTTGACTTTAGTAAATAAATTATTCACTAAAAAGGAGAGTAGGAAGAACAGGAATGCGGTTATGAAATATAAAGCCCTTTGAGATCTGATATGTAAACTGCAGTCTGGGACTGAAAAACTTTGGCATAAAGAACAACCCCATCCCTCTGTGCCAGTGATTAGATGGCATTTCCTAAAAGCAAAGGCAGATCTGATCAGTTCTGTGGTCTTTGACAGGCATAATTTCTGTTGCAGTGAAAGTCATTTGGAGTGCTCCTGCAACATAAACCAATCTGAGTCAGAACCAGCCACTGAGGAAGGGCTCTCTTCCAAATATTCCTGACCAATGGGAAGGCTTGAATTCATATCTGCACACAGGAACTGCCCTATTCATTCAATGATGGAGAAATTGCCATAATAAGGGAAAAGACAGCAAGTATGTAGCTGCTATCCCAGCCAGGTATAGAGGCCTGCAGGTACTTAGAGCACGTGCAAAGATTATGAATAAGATCTATGCCTAAAACAAGCATTGTGCAAAACCTCCAATTAAATGACTTGAGTGCTTCAGCTTTCAGTTACAAAACATTAATTCATGCCAGGTGAGAAGAACATGACAAGCCAAACTAAGGAGAATTCTATAGGATTTGCAATGACCAAAGTCTATCTCTCTTTCTCCCCCCCATTCCTCCCTCTCTCTCTGTCACACACATATACACACACACAGGGAGGGAGGGAGGGAGGGAGGGAGGGAGGGAGGGAGGGAGGTGCATGCATATATTCCTCTCTGTGGGTCTTAGTTTATTTCCTGTAAGCCTCTATTTCTCTCTGCCTATCCCTCTTTCATCCCATTCTCTCCCTGTCATCCATCCCTCTTCTTCACTCAGTCAATTTGCGGGGAAATCAAATACTGAAAGCAGAACAAACAGTGGTTCAATTCAGTCAAAGTCTGACATGTCAGGCAATTAATTCTTCTCCTGGAAATCAGTGAGATTAGAAGTGCATTCCTATTCTACTTAATAAGGAGCAAGTCCCACTAAATATACTTAACTTTGGCAGGATCACACCCCCATGAATACAGACAGAGGCACAATATGTAAACATACTCAATTTTAACAGCCAAAATCAAATTCTGTGTTTAGAATACTTCCATTGGACAGTCATTGTTTCTATTGCTTATCATGCTGCCATCACACACAGAGGTGAAGATAAAAGCAGCAATTCTTATAAAACACTCCCCAAAATGCCTCTTCTCTCTCTAATTTTAATATTAGAAAAATAGCATTTAAAACTAAATAGCAAAAATCCGAATAAAGTCATTATGTTAAACTGCAATCTGCTATTTGGGTAGATTGGAGCATGCAAGGGAAACTTCAGTTCTACAAAATTGCTTGATAAGGATATAAATTTCTTACTGAGAGCAGTTGCATTAGACATCAATATGAAGAAGATTTACCAGTTTCAGTCCCATCTTTTTAAAGAGACTGAGGGATTTTTGGAGCTTCCATGTTGCCAGTCATGATCTTGAAGTCAGCATAAACTGTCCCAAATCACACATGGTTCGACATTGGGTCAACCGGTCATAAGCTAACCCACTCCTCTGTTTCTTTTATTTGAAGGTTCCTCGGGCTAAAGCCTTATATAGCTACAGAGGACACAACCCTGGAGAACTGAGGTTTAACAAAGGGGACATCATTATCTTGCACCGTCAGCTGGATGAAAACTGGTACCTAGGAGAGATTAATCGGGTCAGTGGAATCTTCCCAACAAACTCAGTGCAAGTTATTAAACAGCTTCCACAACCACTCCCACTCTGCAGAGCACTGTACAACTTTGATCTGAAGTCCAGGAATAAAAATGAAAAGACCAACTGCCTGCCATTTCATAAGGTGAGTTTGCCATTCTCCAGCCAGCTTTGAAGGTCTCACCAAGGCATGTCTAGATTCACCATGGCCTGTGCCTAGTCTTGGTTATTCATGCAGATTCCAAGTTCCAGTGAAGGAATACAGAGTGAAAGGGGGCGATTGAGTGGGCCTGCAGTCTGGGTCAGTCGCCTCCATTCAGGTCAAACACTGTCTGGATTCCTACAGGGCAAGGCAGTGCTGGCCGTTCTTTTCAGAAAATATGCCACCAGTTCAATCTAAAGTATGAAATGCTGCCATTTTAGTACACTCTCCTGTATATAGAGCCAGCTGCAGGGTTTTGGGACCTTGGGCAAGAGTCCATCCATGAGCTCCCTCTTCCTGAATATTGTGGCAGTGTTATTTTTGCACTGATGCTACTCCGTTTGGTAGAAGCTACGTTTCCCGAACTGACACTGGAAGGTAGTTTGGTATCTCCACAGTGTCTTCACAAGATGTGACAACAGGGCTACCCAAAGAAATGCATCAGGCTTCAAGAAAAAGCTTAGCTGAAACACCCCAAAGTCACTCCTGTCTCAGAAAGCACACCCACAGCCTTCCTCTCAAAAGTAGCAATGTGCTGTTGGTTCATAACTTACTGACTTGAACACCAGTAACAAGTTTATCCATGAGTCTCATGAAGCAACAGAACATCTCACTCCTGTCAGCCTCCCTGGTGTAATGAGAGATCCTGCTAAAATGGCTTTCAGAAATTACAAAGGAAATGCACAATTTCTGTATCAGCAGGGTATCTGAATATTTCAGAATACAGATGATTTTTGAAAAAATTAGATGTGCATGTGGAAATGGACTCCATGCTTCTTTACGTGAGTGATTTAACGTGCCACTTTACTGAAGCTTCCTCCATTTTTATTGCAGGAAGAAAAGTGCATTCTTTGCACTGGGGTCCCCCCCACACACACATACTTTCCCCCCTGTAGTTCACTGCCCTATGGATGCTATTAACCAAGCACAAGGTGGTGCTGTGGCATCAGTGCTGTCTTTAAGACTTTACAGGGAGTCTTGTTCCAATCTCAAATTTAATAGCTCATTATCCGACCTCTTAAAGAAGTCATGAAATTCTCTGGAACACATGGGAGAGGAGAGCAATACTATGAACAAGCGCCATAAATTTCTGTTGTGTGAGGGAGCCCAAGCATATCATTCCTTGTGTGGAGAAGCCTAGTGACACATAATCACAAATTATTTTGTAACAAAGGTTTTCCCGCCCACCCCAAATGTCTTTTGTTAAGTTAATGTTTACTGTGAGCTGCTTTTCGATTGAGCTTACTGTAGAAAAGAGCAGCATATCAGTAAATAAGAAAATAAAATAAATGCTGTGAGAAGAAAAGGAGGTCTCAAGGGCAAAGTCAGGCCCTGGGTCTCTCAGAGTCCTAAAAAGCGTCTGTGATGAGCCTGAGGAGGTTCCTCATAAAGCCCAAGACTGAACTTGCCCTTTCACCATGTTGAATCAACTTTCCACCAAACAAGCATTTGCATTTAGCTAGCAGATTTACAAAGCTAGGGACAGCATGCCACAAAATCGACTTAGAGTAGCCTTCTGGGACAGCTTGTTAGTGACCACAGGGCAATACAGTGACTGAATGCCATGGGAGCAGCTCCCTCTGAAGAACACCCTCCCTGGCCATACATTTCTATCCAAATGTGCTCATACTTGTAGCCTCTACAATTCAAATGTAATCAAAACCAGTCTCAACCAGTCTCTCCATTGCTCTGTTTCATTTTATACATTATTGTTGTTAGTTCTGTGAGTTCATACATTGGGCTATCGTTGGTCAGATGTCATGATATATGACAGTATAATCTGGCACAGTCATCCCCTATACACACAGGGCTGCAACACCGCACAGCAGAATTCTTCATGTAGCAAATCTTATGCAATAAAGCAGGGGTGGGCTTTATCCCCAGGATATTTTCATTCAGAGGCAACAAGAAGTTCCTCTGTTACATCACTCACCTTCCATCAAAGGGCAAGCCGAATCCTTTTGTTGTCTTGGAGTTAGGCTGGGGATTCCCACACAGATATTAAGGGACTTTCAGGAGGCAGCCCTGAAAAAAAGGGACCCTGGCTGAGTCCCTTCCCGTACCACCCATGCTCCGGTTGGGATACAGGTGGAGAGGAAAGGAGTGTTCTAACTTGCCAGGGTTCATAGGCCCCCAGACTAAAAGAGAGTGCCTTTCCCTGGCTTATGCCATAATAAATATGTTCCTCTTTGAGGTGCACTTTTTTTTTTTTTTGCTTCTCCTTTTTTTAGAATAGGCAGGTATCCTTGAAGCACCATTTCATCCTCTGACACACTCAGCATATTTCCTTTAGATAGTTGTCTTTTGCCCCACCACAGCTCTTACTAAATCATAATTATCAGGGATGCCCTCCTTATGCCCTCTAGGAGGTGGTGGAGGACAAAAGCAACATTTTAGGGGTTAATGAGCGAGTGGCTCATTGCATAATAATAAGCAAAGCTTGTGCAGGTAAATGGCAGTGCAGTGGGGCAAACGGAACAGTAAGGCCAAGTTGCAGTCATAAAGGATGTTTGTGTCCAGCACTGCAATTAGGGTTGGCATGTGGCATGGGAGCTGCAGGAGGTGATTCAGGTCTCCAATAGCCAGTTGTTTTCACAGCCTGAGATGAGGAGGAACCAGCTGTGAGTGCCAGTTTTTACTGCAGTGTCTGCTGCTGCTCATTTCAAGAGTATCAACACTTCTAAAAGTGGCTTTCCACATCACTGACGACAACTCCGCAGACATGGAAAAGGAGCCATTTCTTTTGGTAGCTTCAGACATTGTCTCTATTTCATGCCATCTGCCTTTGCTTTATTTTGCTTCTTTTGCTCCCCTCCCCTTTCCTTTACGTGTCCTTGTTTCAGTAGTTACTCATTCTGTTTGTTCGTTCTGTAGACAGAGCTCGTATCTGCTTCCACAGCACAGTTAGAAGGCCGGGATTTACTGTGTCACATAAAACAGACAGCCGGCATTTCAGCAAGGACAGTGGAACACAATGACATGCCTGTGGCTGGTGACATAAGATCAGACTTTGCAGGCAATGAAGAGACAATATCTAGAAGTTTCTTCACTGGCTTCTTTTCTGAAAATTCCCAGCAGAAAGATATTAGGATTCTGTGTTTCCACAGGCAACCACAGCAGGCTATCCCTGCAGAATACACTGTGGCAGTCACCTTTACAAGTGCTTTCTCAGCAGGGCTGGCATAAGGGCTGGGCATGTTTGGGTACCTGCAGAGGACCCAGTCCCTGCATTGGTTCCCTGGAGTTGCTATCATCATCATCATCATCTCCTGTACTACTCAATACCCAACACTGTCTAGACAAAGTATAATAAGAATACAGTAAAATACAGTAAAACATTATAAAATAGAATACAAAATTTTAAAACCTAATTTAAAACCTAAGCACCTATAATAGTCATAGGACCTGTTAAGCAGTTGACAATGCCTCAGTATAGTGCAAAAATAATTCAGTGGTCAGTCGTAGAGAACTAGCTTAACTTGGCACCAAACAGAGATCAAAGGTGATGCCAGGCAGGCCACGGTAGGGAGCTTGTTCCAGAGCTGGTGGGACACCATTAAAAAAGCCCTTCTTGTTGCCACCAAATGAGCCTCCCTCAGAGGTGGCAACTGGAGGCAAACCTCAGTTTTTGATCATAGTGTATGGGTAGTTTGTGGTTGTGAGAGTTGTTCCATCAGATATTCTGGGACCAAAGGAGGGCAGCAAGAAAGATTCAGGCAGTGGAGGCAAAGCCCTGTGAGGAAAGAGTGAGAGAGCTGGGTGTGTTTGGCCTCAAGAAGGCTGAGGAGTGATATGATAGCACTCTACAAGTACCTGAAAAGCTGTCACAAAGAGAAGGACAAGAGTGTAGATTACGGAGAGCAGGCTATCCCTGTCCAGATAGAGCCATAGCTGAGCCACCAGTCAGCCATGGTAAAAGGTACTCTGTGCCACTGGGCATTAAGTGTCAGAAATGTCTCAAGGAGCACCCACAAGCTATGAAACTGCTCCTTCAAGGAGAGCGTGACACCATTCAAAACAGACTGAATCCCTCCAAACAGTCAGAAGGACCACCCACTGGAAGCATCTTGGTCTTGTCTGGATTGAGCTTCAGTTATAGCTTCACTTATACCCTTGAGCTTCAGTTACATCCTTCAGAGGTGAACCCTTGCAATCTGCTTGTTCACCTGCCTCTCTCTCTGGCCCAGGCAACAGTGGAAAGGAGGAGGAATAAATGCAGCAACCTATTTGAGCACTGGTTTTCTCCCTGTCAGGTAGGGATGCTGGAGAAATGTGCACTGGACTCAGCAAAGTTGGAATTTCTGTGAATCCAACTCAGGTACTCTTTCAGACGATCAATGTGAGAGTGGATGGAATGTATACAGTGATCCAAAATATTACATCATTCTTATTTTGCACTTTTGGTTGGTTGGTCGACTGTTTTTAACACTCTGCTTTAGTATTCTGTGCTCTGTTTTTTATCAGTGTGAGCTATGCAAGAAAGAATTGAGATATAATTAGGCAACCAATCCTTGAGTAAAAGAGTTGAGATATAATTAGGCAAGCAATCCAGAACAAGTGCAATGTTGGGCACCTGCTAAGTCGCACACCCTGGCAGATGGCCCACTGTTAGTGCCCAGATCCATGTTGCTCCCCTCCTCTTCCTCCTCTCTTTGATGTTTCTGACTGCTACTAGACCCCTCCAAGCATGTGAGTACAGATAAAAACAGGGAGAAAGGGCAACAGATTTTGCTTGTTTTGCATGCTTCTTTTGGACAGGGTTTGGAATTGGGCCCCCAGGAGAGAGCAAGCAGGTGGGCAGTGCTGACCTTGGGCAATGAACTCATCAATAAAATTGCAAACCCCTGGCAGGAGCCTAAACAACTCTTTGGATCCTAGCCTATGTACATGAATGTGATATACATTTAAAATAGCGGCAGTGTGGTAAGCCCCATGACTGTGTGTGGGAGGTGCTATCCTGTATCCATAGTGCTGTTTTGGAGGTAGGTGTGGGGACAGTGATCTGAGGCCCAAAGCAGCCCAATTCAAGTTTAAGATAGGACTGAACTCAAGAATCCCACTATTTGGCCAAGGATAGTGAGAGCTGTGGTGGATTTGATGTGCCCCCAAAACCCATTTGTTCCAAATACGAGTATATGCTGGGCCAAACTAGGATCAGTTTTGGAAGACATGATTGTACCCTGTATGAATGCAATTTAAAATTAGGGAAACTGCTTTGGATAGCTATTCATTTACTCTCTTCTTAAATTGAAAGGAAAATGAGATTCATAAAAGCTACCTAGAAAAAATCTTAGCTTTACAAAGATCATTGTATAATGCATTCTTTCTTATTTTAATGGTCTAAAAGCCAAGGTTAGTGTTGTTCATTTCTCAGTATAATTCAAAGGAGAGTCTCACCTGTTATTTGTCAAGCACTGGCAACTATGTTGATAACTCTCCCTGGTTATTATCTTTCAGGGTGATATAATCACTGTAATCAGCCGAGTGGATGAGAACTGGGCAGAGGGCAAAATAGGAGACAGAACTGGGATTTTCCCCATTTTGTTTGTGGAGGTAAGAACACCTACACTGAATGCATTCAAAGACAAAGCCTGTACTTGCGCCACGTGATCTCAGGGGTGATTGCAATAATAGACAGTGGTCCAAGGAAGAGGACAGTTCAAGCAGAAGCAATCCTGGCTGCTTAACGTCACTTGACACGCAGAGAACAGGCCTGAAGGAGGCCCCGAGTAGCTGACTGACTGAGGTGCTGGGACTCATGGGTGGCAGCAGTCATTTTGTTTTGAACTATATATAGCCTGCTTATGGTCAGGACTCCTAAAACTGCTGAAGCTGGTGGCAATACGCATTAATTTGACGGTGCCATTAAATATCCTAATATGAGGGGTTGTCCAACATCCAGCTATTAAAAAAATCCAGGAGGTGGTGTCGTTCTGCAGGGAGCTGTTTGGCAGACTGAGGAGTGTGTGATTGTGCTGGTGTCTGTGATGTGCATGCAATCATCCCCATGCACCGAAATTCTTCCCCAGCTGAATCCCACTCCAGCCACCCATCAAATAGCTAGCTGATGACTGGGAGGCACAAAGTTCGCATCCTGTAATCCTAATTCTGTTCTTGGATGCAGATTCAGGATATGGATTTTAAGCCCAACATCAGCCTTACCAAGCATTCACAAAGCCTAGAATGAGCAAAATTCAAGCATTTTGACATTCAGATGGTGGGGCTTGGCATTAGCATGCTGAATAAGACATTAACTCAAGCAGCTGTTGGAGTTCAGGTCTATTTCATCTTTTATGACAAAGTCTCATCTCCCTTTTTTCCTCTTCCAGCCGAATACAGCAGCACGGAAACTCCTTCAGACAAGCCAGAATTATCAGTCTTCCCAGTTGAAATGTGCTTCACCTTTGCGAAAATCTTTGCCCAGGGCGAAAGTTATAGAGTCACCCCCTTTCTGCAAAGGGCCTGAATCAAGAAGGAAAAGCATGAAGCAATTCTCCATCACAACCGCCTTAAATACGCTCAACAGGATGGTCCATTCACCCACGGGACGGCAGACTCTGGATATCAGCTCCCCTGTGCTTATCAGCTCTAGCAATCCTTCTGTGGCTACCCAGAATGATGAGAAAATAGAATTGCCATATAGTACTCCTGTTCAGGTAAACCCAGATTCACATTTTTGGTGTTTCTTGTATAGGAGAGATACTGAAAGTACAGAACAAATAATAAGTTTAAGAGTAAACACTGCATTGACACTTTGGGGGGCGGGGGTGCTTGGTAGGCAAGTGGCAGCCTAGAAACGCAACCATAACTGCCACAGAAGCACTTTTCCAAGTGAAGATTACTTCTGACTTCTAAAGAGGTCTCTCCCTTGTGGTAGAAACTCTGTGATCCAACATAAAGCAGGGGCAGGAACCTCCAGCCTGTGGAGGTTCCTAATCTGAACCCAAAGTGCTCTTCGACCAGACCTTCACAGGACCTTTCCCTCCCCAACCCTCACCATCACCCCTGTCCTGGAGGCTACGGGGGGGCTTGGAGAGCAAGCAGAGGGGGGAATCCTCTTGTTGCCTCTCATCAGTGACAGATGCAAGGGGATTTCTTTCCCCACCTCCTCCAAAAGGAGGATGAGTAGCGCTCACTTTTAAAGGAACTGTGGGAAACCTTTTGGGCTGCTTTAGAGGATGCAGCTGTTCTTTGTTAAAGATTTATTTATTGCACACAAAGTAACTGGTTTTGCACAATTTGACAGGGAAAATAAGGTACTGTAGCTTATTTTCCTGTCTCGAATATGTTGGTTGCCCACCACTAAATCATCATGATTACTTTCACTGGGCACAATTTGTCCTGTTGTCTGAACCCAGCAAGGGGAGTGAATAAGTTTACAAAACAGCATGGAAGTCATGGCTCACTTTGTAAGCTGCTCCCCTCTCACCACCCTCAATGGGTTTGGATGCCACAACAAACCACAACTGTCAAGAGTAATTATGATTATTCAGTAGCACGTGTCTACCACACATGGGTCACAAACCCAGCCAGCATGCCCATCATATTTCTATGTTTGGTTTTTTTAAATGAGGGGACTTCCTGTTTTCTGAGATCTTACCTGAAGGAAGGACTCCATTGATAACCCAAGGTCATAGCAGAGAGTTATACTCCAGGCCTGAAACTGTATCCACCATTTCCATAAGTATTGCTCCATCTTTCAAGACAGGCCCCAGAAAGGAATAAGAACCACAGAGAAGTTGACAGAAAGATACTTCAGCTTCTCTTGAACCTTCTGCAAGTGACTGGCCTGCCAACCCTGAGTGCATCACTTTCTTAGCTTGTTTCCATAGATCCATCTGGATATTAGGTCAACAGAATTTTCCTTCTGTCACTCCATTCCAAATCACTCGTGTTAGCACATCAACCATTATCTCATGCACTCCCACACATGAGCACAAATTTAGTCATGGGCTACCTATAAAATAGCACTGGAGAACTTGAAAAAATGAAAGTAATGAGACAGGACAACAAGAGTAGGCTACAGGTCTTTGTTTCCAGGCAGGGCCTACGTTCTGAACAGGCAGAAGGCATGGTGCCTTGTTTGAGAGGAAGGGTCTTCTTTCAGATTCCTAAATGAAATGATTGACTACACAAACAATATATTAGGGGATACAGGCATGGATCCAGTCAATGTCATGAGCTGGCCTCTTCCTACTTTCCTTCTGGTTATCAAATTCTAGACAGTCCTTTGAAGTGCAATTATTTTATTGAAACTTAATGGAAATTAGAAAAGTATGAGCTCTAAATAGCCTTCCACCAGAGTTGAGGGAGAAGCACCTGTAAAGTTGAATCCAAACTGGAAACTTTCCCTCTGTCTCTCCCTTTCAGTAAAGTTTCTGACTCCACCCTCCACTGTGTTGTTGCTTGAAAGCAAGATGGAGAGGATGCCAGAGGGCCCCCCCCCACTCTGCAGTATGTTCCTCACACTGCTTTTTTACTGGGTCAAAGACTGGATCTCCCACCTGCTCCTCCTTCCACCGTGAAGAACCTTCCACCCCTTCCAAAACATGCCAGTTCTCACACTCTGCCTGAGAAACTTCACTATGTAACCTTGAAGGTAACTTCAGAGCCCTCAGTCCCTGCTTGCACATCTCCCTCCTCAGAATCAGACAAATCTATCTGAACAATTTGTAAATATCTGTCCTATAACCTTAAAACAGATTGTGGGCTATGCTGTTTAGCCCCAGAATAGCCCCCTCTACCTGGGTTTGAATGACACAGCAAATCATGGCAGTCCCCAGCTGGTGCTGCATATTCAGCACCCCAGATATGAATTGACGACCGTGGGGTGTCCAGTCATCCAAAGTGCATCAGGAGCCCCTGCTGAAAGAGATGAACTGTGATGCAAGGGAGAAAAATCATGCTGAGAATCACTCTGTGAGTGGAGTCCTTCCTCTCAAGGAAGACATTTCCTAGATCCAACCTCTGGAGGCCGAGACCTTGAGGAAGGTTGTACTAATGATCCATTTGGGTCCCTTGCAACTCTGCTAATATTCCATTGACATAGGTTGAAATCAGCTGTACTTACTGACAAGAAAAATACATTTTATGCATTGAATTGAAAGTACTTAAACTCCTGTAGAGCAAGCTCACCCTGTTATGCATGTTCATTTACCTCAATATAAAGGTTAGCTGACTAAGAGTAGGCCCATTAACCAGCACAAGGGCCTACACAACTCTTCTATCTCAGGACTTATTTCTCATTCTTAAAACCACTTGAGCAAGAATATTAAAGATTAAAGGCTCAATTTAAGATGTATGTGTCAGACAATGCAGGGGAGGGAGATCAATCACTGACATTAACCAGGCCCATAAGACAACAGTGCTATCCAAAACTGGAGGCACTTTTGCTTGGTTGCACCCATTGAAATTGAAAGTTCTGTCTCATGAATCACTCCGCTCACCAATGACTCATCAAGGAGGTAGCAAAATTCAGGGCTAATGAACCTTGTTCATTTGTGCTCACATTTGTTTTTTGACCAGACTAGAAAAATGGAAGGAATATTCTAGTCTTTTATGGCCTGCAATAGCTATTTATTTTGACCTCCCAACATCTGCAAACAGTAGGGAGCCCTGGTGCAGTTTTCCAAGGCCAGTTGCATTGTGAAGAGGAGCCAATGAGGTTGGATTCAGATTTGCAACTGGGCTGGTGGAAATAGACTTCCTGCCCCCTCTTCTCCATGGTGGCAACCCCTTCAGACCCATGAAAATCTGGTACAGAGTCACCACATTTTAAACCAGCCGGGGAGGCATGGTTAGGTCCCTGCGGGTGGCCCACACCCCCTGGAGCTGTTACTTCACACATGCAACCAGCTTGTTCACCTGCCTCACATTCTGAGCCAGATAATAGTGGCAGTGAGGAAGAGGAGGAGATGCCATGGCCTATTTGCTCACTGGATCTCTGCCTATCAGGCAAGCAAATGGGATCCGGGGATGACCATGGCAGCAAAAAGGCAGACTCGTTGAAGGAGGGTGCCCACTAATTGTGTCTTGCCCAGGAGCCCCCTGAAAGCTCAAGCTGGCACTAATCAGAACTATAGTTTCTGAGCCGTCTGAAAAGGCAGCCCAAAGTGGTTCAAATGACATTGCTCTACCCTGGCCATGGATCTTCCCCCACCCTAAATCCTCTCTCACACCCATTTTAGCCAAAGAGCTGGGGCCTCTTCTAAAGCAGTGGGGATTGTATGAGGCCTGGCACAAAAGCAGACCCTGCACTCAAGTAGAACTCCCAGGCTTTGGTCATTGCACTGCATTCCAAAAACTGATGAAATATTATGAGAGCCAGCTGGGACAAACTGTTTTACTGTTCAGGGCCCCTAAGGGAAGGAAATCCACAACTGAGGTGTGTGTCGCATGAGGCAGTGGTGATATTTTGGCTAAGCTAACTTCTTTTATGTGGCATAGCTTGTCGATGAAGGCCTGGCTGGCATTGTGCACCATAAACTAGCACATGCCACAGGAAGGTGGCTCAATAATTATATAGCAAGAGGTACATATTTACGCAAGCTCTGGCTAGCAATTTTTGTTCATTTAGATAATTTACCTTAATTACATTTTACAGTCATTTTAGAAGAGAGGAAGAGTGGTGGGAAAGGATACTAGCATTCTTGCAGAATCATTTCTGGGCATACAGATATAACGTTCAATGATAACTGTTGTAGCTCTAGCAAATTCATATGTTTTTTAAGAAAATAGCACTGAGTTTCTGCCAAGGGCCAGGTTCCTGCAGTTTCTAGCTGATCAACTTGTGTGGTGCTTCTAGTGGGGAAAAGGAGAATAAATGAATGCAGTTCCTTCCTTCCTTCCTTCTCACCTGCATAATTCTCTGTTGGAAATTATTGTCCTTTCCAGCAGACCCATTTGAAATGCCTTGTAATTTCCTTCTGTGCCAGGATACCAGCTCTAGGCACCAATTAGTTATGAAATAATACAAAGAGAATTAATGGCAGTTGTTGTTTTTTTCCTTTTTAACAAATACATTTGGATGTGGGTGGGTTGGCCTAAGGCACTGTATAAAAAGAATACTAAAGCAGAGCTCAGATTGCAGCTTGTCTGAATTTTGCATAGGTTAAGGAGGCCTTTCTCAGATCTAGCAATAGCTCCCCCCCCCCCCCATTTTTTGGCAGGACTCCTGAACCTTTCACAACTGCGTAAAGTGCAGAAAATCAAGAGGTGCTGTTCCACACTAAGAAAAGCTTCAGCTGATCTATCACTACCTCTTCTATGGCTCTAAAATGCTTAAGAGTTCTTCCAGGAAAATGATGGCAAGTGGGGGATATGGGAACAAACTGGGAGGAAAATTCATTCCCTTCGCTTCTAAATGTTTGCTCTGAATCCCAGCTACCTTAGAGTTTTAATAAGGAAGCTTGGCTCCTGGAGGACCTCAGGAGGTGTTTGGCCTTCAATGCATTCCTAAGATAGGGTGTGGACCTGATAAATTGCTTTTTGTTCTCTGCTGAGCAGCAAGCCTGCAGGTCTCACCAGTAGCACAGTTCAAAACCTATCACTGCTTTTATGGAAGGGGCACCTTTTGCTCTCCCAGAAGATTGGTTTTTGTTTTCATAACTAATTGCCAATTTTAAACATTAATCCTTCCCCCCCTTTTTAAAAGGAG